AAATAGTGACTACTACTAAACAATGACCAACGCTTATTGCTCTTTTGTAAGTTGATAAATCAACTTCAAGAAGGGCCAGGAAAATGGCATTATTTTTTTTTGTAGGGCAGAATTTTAACAGATTGCAGACTGATTTTTGGTCAAATAAAAATTCATTTTGTTTTCTAAGATAAGGAAGAAAATCTTTGTCATCTATGTAATTAGGAATACCAGAGATTCTAATTTTAGGGCAAGCTGATTTTATCTCACGAACCTCATGTTTTTCCGCCATTTTATCTTTTGCAATCTGATTAAAATTACTAGAGTTTTCGCACTTTAAAAGAATGGCCTCATCTCTTAACGTTCTCACTTTACCGATATTGATGTCAGTTAAGGGGTTAATGTTATCCATAACATCAAATTTAGTTTTAGACGAACGCTGCTTATCATCTTTTGGTTTCACTATTAAAGTTTTTTGCGAGTTTTTCTTCGTTATATTAGAATATGAGATTTTAGCATCTAATTTCTCAGGATCTGTGGGTTTGGTGGACTCCTCAGCTTTGGTTACATTCACACACTTATTTAATTTGGTTATTTCACCGCGTAGTTCTGAGTTTTCTTTAGATAAATTATTAACTGATGTTTGTAGTGCTTCAATTATATTTAATAATGGTTTAACGTGACTGGACACGATCATATCTATCTCTTTTAGGGCATTAGATGATAAATTAGCTTCACTGGTAAAAGGCAACGGCTTCATTTTTGCAGATTTGTGATCAGGATTATTATCGGACATAGGAACTATTAAACAAAAACTACAATTCCATGTTGTAAGTTTGGCCTGGCTTTTAAGAAGGTCATAGTCATCATCATCAATACCGACACAATCAGGGTGATAATTCAGTTTGCAGGATTTACATGAAATGTAATTCTCATTACGAGTAATATTACGGTTGCATTTCCCGCATTTGACCGGCATGCTGATTATATGTATTATTAGCAGGTGAACGGTGACCAGATGATAGGGACAAGAAAAGCGATAAGAACTCGACGAAGAACCACTGATAAGATTGTAGCGAATTTCAACCCGATAAATCGATCAAAAATCACGGTTAAGGCTTACTCACCACCCCCCAGGATGGGGGTGTCGAACGTGAAACACTAAACCAAGTCAGTTCCTCTAATTTAACACAATTAAACCAAGAAAAAACTATAGATTGAGCACTTTAAATCAAGAGAGACACTACAGCGAACACACTCACTCACGCCACCATGTGTTTTCAAGCTATTATATTACATATTTAGTATATCTCCAATAATTTTAGGAAGGATTTGAAATTGTGAATCAAACCGGGGCTACCAAACTGTCAAAATCGTGACATCAACTTTTTTTTTAATGTGGAATCAACTCGTTACTGCAGATATCGTAAGAACTTACTGGGTGTAAATATTTTGAAAATGAAATAAACGGCTTTGAAATAATTTGTAAATGACTATTTTCTTCCATGAGATGAATTACACGAACAAGTTTGAAAATAATCATATTTTAAATTCCAGTTTACTTTTTTTTATCGAGTTTTAAATGTGTACATACTCATTGTGATAACTCAAACATGCCGCTTTAAATTGACATGTGAAAAAAAATTGAAAGCCCATGAAAAATTCAAACATTCAACCGCCAGCTCGATGAGGAACCGCGCACTCCGCTTCCGCCACGTGTTTCTGTGTTATTTACCTCAATTCCACTTAAATGTTCAATTTCTATACTACAACTGAACAAGTGTTAAAGTTTCAAAAAGAGCAATAAACCACATTTAAATTCGCCATACACTCTCGTGAAATTTTAAACAGCAAAGAACTCTTTCTGAGATTAGGATTGGACATCAGACAATTTATATGATGGAAACATTAATCAACAAAATATTTACATGGTCAAAAAACTGGCAAAGATTTATAAAAACAAAAAAAAAAGTCTGGTGTGAAGTAAAACTTGTGCAGACAAAAATCGTACGTGAGGTTTGAAACTGCAGAGCATGAAAATCTACGTTCAGTTTAAATTATACGATAAAGAAAATTACTGAGGCTAAAATTGTGAGATAGAAAAAAATTGTATGAGGTGAAAAATTGCAGAGCTAACAAAATTACATGAGGTTAATATTTGCCACACTTTATCAATGATTCAAACAAAGAATTTACAATATGTTAAATTATGCCACACTTTATCAACAATTCAAATAAAGAATTTACGTGATTTGAAATTAGGCCTTGATCCAAGTGACTGGTTACTTAAAAACATTTAGTTTTGACAGTTTATATCGTGGATTATCCCTAGCTTATCCCAAACACATGTAATTTTCCACTTTGCGAGAAAAATGTCTCGGTGATGTGGGACACCGTTAGGTTAATTTTAACTGCCGTAAATGAACTATTAACAATCTTGTGCGAAAAATTAAGAAGTGTTATAATGTAGCACTTAACACTTAACTACATGGAAAGGATGAGTCCTGATTAAGTGAATCTCATGAAAACTCCTAGCACGTGCTTTATCAGAATACTTCCATGACTGTTAAATTGTGTTAGAACTATCAAAATACAGCAAGAATTAGCTACGCTTATCTTGGGGGAATTTTCGTGAAACAAAGGCTCCCCTTTTTTATTAACAACCAAACCAACTACACTTAACCTAGCTTCCTTACCACGTGCTTCACTCACACTAAACAAAAACAGTGAAGCGTCACCCTTCTCTACAAAGCAAGCACCCTTCACTATCAACCCTCTACCTATAGATTCCCTAGCAGACTACCAAGTACCAAAAAAGAACTAAACTTGCACATGATTGCCTATGTTTACGATTTTCTTAATGATTTTTTTTTTAAACAAATTATTCAAATGCAATTTCCCGCCGCTGTTTATTTTCAGCGCGAAATTTTATTTCAAATTTGGTCACCACAAGAGTTCGAACATTTCAACAATACCTAGTATAATTTTACAACCTCTACTGTGAAGAAATGTCGGACAATGCAGGGAGATAATGCCGTCAATAAAAGGGAAGTGCCACCAGTGTATTGTAGGTCCAACCTTGATGGTTAAAAATAACACTTCTGTATTTTCTAAACAAGATCAGTGTGTCACTTTCGTCTAACTTTTGACTTAATTTTTTAAAAATTCGTCAAAATTGCATAAATCTTGAAAACTGTTTGTTGTGACAGACCGCAAATGTCATAATATATTTAAACAAAGATTGTTCATACGAAAAAATGAAAGACCTGGTTTAAAATTTCGTATTGATTATCTAAAGAATTGTCAAAATTTTCTGTTGGAGATCTAGTAAGTATTAAAAAAAAATTCTACACCGTTCCCTGTCTTCGTCGTAAGCAACGTATTTCCAGATCATACATCTCTAAAGCTTAACTTCCACAAAGATATTTCATTACAATAATAATAAATATTCCCCACCCACCCACCCATCTTTTAATGTGTCGTCTATAACAAAACAAAAACTCGTTTTATAAAATTTTCCTAAACACAAGCTCTTTATTTACAAAAAAAACTTGTAGTATTATCTATGATTTCTTGTGTATTCGAATTAGAATTTTCGAATAGAATTCCTTGAATGTTGAGATCTGAGGTTGCTAAAGTTAAAAAATAACACTTCTGGATTTTCTAAACAAGATCGCTGTATAAGGATGTGCCACAGATACGTCAAACTATTAATTTTATTTTTCAAAAATTCGTCAAAATTTTATACATCTTAAAAACTGTTTGTTGTTGGGGACCACAAATGCCATAACATATTTAGTTAAACATTGTTGATACTAAAAACTGAACGACGTGATTTAAAATTTCGTATTAATTATCTCAAAAATCGTCAAAATTTTCAGTTGGAAATCAAGTATTAAAAACATTTCTACACCGTTTACCTTCATCGTAGGCAACCTGTTTCCAGGTCATACGCATCTCTAAAGCCCAACTTCCATAAAGATATATATTTCATTATAATAAAAATAAATACTTTTGAAATGTTCGAACCTTACAAGTAAATTTATGTTTCAGCTAAATTCTTATTATGAAATAGTTTTAGTTTGGAACTTGACACCCCTAAAAGTAAAATTGTATCCGAATTGGTTAGGACATTATTCTTAGAGCCAATTTATCGAAGCTCATGTAAATATTTAATTAATTCCGATTAAATTTTTAATCCAAGATTACAGTACCACGTGACTGCCTCTACACCAATCAGATGCCTCTAAACGCCTCATTAATCGCCTGATTAACTTAATCACGATTAAAATGTTCTAGAAACACTACTTATTTAAAATTTAAATCTTGAGGAAAATCAATAAGTCTTTTGATACTTAAGAGTAAATCTAAAAGTGGAATTTAAGTAGTATTTTCAGGAAAAGGGATTAGTGAAAAGCCCACAAAACGTCTCCTTGTCCGTTTATCTCCCAAAGTGGAATTTAAGTAGTAGTTTCAGGAAAAGCAGGTAGATCTTGATTTTAATCTACGACCAAAGGTTCTCAGTCTCGTACATGGACAAAACACCAAAGCAAGTAGATGTGTGGCCCAGTGCTTGTTGTCCTAGAACATCTTAATAGAAAGTAGGTAAGTAAGTACCTCTACAAATGATGAATATAAATAAAGAATTCAAAGGAATTACTGATGTTCTGTCGATTCATGTCAGTTCAACATTAGAAGCGTCGTTCAAGACGGCCTTTTCACTACACTGTAAAGGTCCAGTTACGCTTGAGTGGTTAAATCCTCTTTGCTGCGAAAATGTTCAAATATTTAAAAATACATCTGCAACACAAGAAACACGTGATTAATACATCATTTTGTGTTTTTAATTTGCTGTCTAAATTATGTGATTTCAGTCGCTTTATACATTTTGAATTAAGTTTGATTCTACAGCTTTATTTTGTGTGTTTCTTTTCCATTCCACAATGTTTTGTTACGCCACTGGATACAGATTGTCTTTCTTATCTTAGTAACATAATAATTTACTATTGGCAGCTCTGAAACTTGACGAGTGACAGTTGACGGCAAGTTGTCAAACCACAAAATAAGAAACAGTATTGAAAACATCAGCGATAACGAGTCAGAACAAGACAGAAATACAAACACAAACGGGAAACCCCCAGTAAGAAAACGATAAAAATGTAAAGTTTATAACTTTCAGACACCGTTGTAACCAGTAGAACAATCTCAAACAAAATGTCGTTTTTGCGTGGATCGCAAAACTATGTCTGGTCGACAACGAGTGTTTTGGGGAAAGGGGCAACAGGAGCCGTGTACCAGGGAGTAAATAAAATCAATGGTGAACCCGTGGCCGTAAAAACATTCAACCAAATGAGCCATCTTCGACCCCACGATGTTCAGATGCGTGAATTTGAGGTGTTGCAGAAAGTCAAACACGAGAACATTGTCAAGTTGTTGGCTATTGAAGAAGAACAAGAGAATCGTGGAAAGGTGATAGTCATGGAATTGTGCACGGGGGGAAGTTTGTTCAATATCTTGGATGATCCAGAAAATACCTATGGACTATCGGAAAATGAATTCCTGAAAGTGCTGCAGGATTTATCGGCAGGGATGAAGCATCTTCGGGATAATAATTTAGTCCACCGTGATTTAAAACCAGGTATGCAACTGTTAATTGTAAGGAAATTGGTTTGGTTCCACATATGTTAGAGTATGTTGTTATCTAGAAAATTGTGTTAAGTATGTGGTTTCTAATCAAAAATATTTAAGATGACACTACTTTGATAAAAATTTTGTAATGAGTATGAAACTGAAGCTTTTAAATGTGTAAAATTTATTAATGAAAAATTATGAAGTTAAATTTGTGAACTCCATCTTAAAGGCGTAATAATAGTTTTTATAGTGGTTATATTGCTGACATCTGTTAAAATAATAAAAAATAATATGTAAAACAGTATTTAGAAATAGGCATGAAATTTTCATAAAGGCTCGCGCAGGGTTTGGTGCATGTCATTCCTATTGTAAGTTCCACTATTTACATTCTATACATAAAAATAGAATTGGTAGTTCTAGTCTGTATTCCGCCGCCATTTAAATTAAATTGTTATTATAAAAAAATAAAATAAAATATAATGTTTATGGATAATACAAAGCACAAAATGTGTGCGGCAGTATTCATCACCTAAAAAAATTGGTCGAAAGTTGTTGCATTTTCGAGTTGAGTTTTTTCTTTACGCAATTTTGTGATGCCGTCATCAACATTTTTGAAAGGTCTTGGATTGGTGAAGTGTAATACTAAAAATAACAGTATTGTATTCCAAAAATTTTCTGGGAAAATGGAGTGAGCCGTTCCTGATTTATATTTTATTTTATATTAGCTCTCCATTGGGTACGTTCGACTGCTTTGCTTTTCCAATCTTTTATACCCATTTCCTGTATATCCCTTTTCACGTCTTCCAGCCATCTCAGTTTTGGTCGTCCTTTCTTTTTCTTCCCACCTTGTAGACGGTTCAACCAGAGAATATAGAGAAGTGTCATAGTTTAAATTAAATGACGGTTGAGGACTCCTCGATTTATGTTGGCAACAGTATTTGTTTCTAACTAGGAATAAAATTAGCTAGAAAAAATGTCATCATATTTTTAACGACGCGTTTTACTTTCGACAAATTGACACTAGATTTACCAGAATATTACAAGCTGCTTACTGTTTCCTTCACTTTAATTCAGGTCACACGAATTACAGTTCGTCGTCTGAGAACTTGTTTGATCTACAGACCAGAGCGCACTCAGGCCAATGTCGACTCTAAGCGTTCAGAAACGATTTGATTTATAAGCCATGATCCGTGATCTGGTACACATCCTAACCGGTTTCGACCATAATTTCTTGCTGTTTCAACTTTCGAATTCTCAGTTTTTCGAAATTTTAGTTTGGGGACTTCTCAGTTTACTTCTATTTATTATTCAATTTTTGGATTTTTCAATTTCCCAATTTTTCAATGTCTCGGTTTTCAGTTTTTCTCTTCAATTTTACGATTTTTAAATATTTCCATTTTTCAATTTTTGACTTTTATAAACTCTTTATTTGTCGATTTTTCAATTAATTGATTTTTCAGGTTTTTGGTTTTTCAATTTTTTCAGGTTTCGATTTTTCAACTTCACTTTTTTGATTTTTAGATTTCTCAATTTTTCAATTTTTTAATTTCTCAGTTTTTGGACATTTCAGTTTTGGGATTTTTCAGTTTATTTGTTATTCAATTTTTCGATCTTACGATTTTGCAGGTTTTTGATTTTTCAATTTTTCGATTTTTTAAGATTTCGATATTTCGACTTCACTTTTCCGATTTTTCGATTTTTCAATTTTTCGATTTTTTAGATTCTCAGTTTTTGGATATTTCAGTTTTGGAATTTTTCGGTTTTTCGATTCGTCAGTTTTTCTTTCGTTTTTCAGGTTTGACTTCTGGATTTTTCGATGTGTCGACTTTTTACTTTTTCGATTTTTAAATTCTCAATTTTTTGGTATTTTAATTTTTTAATATTTAAAATTTTAGATTTTTCTATTTCTCATTTCAGCTCTTCCATATTTCAATTTTTCAAATGTTTCGATTTCTTAATCTTTCGATTTTTCGACTTCCCGGTTTTAGATTTTGTTTTCTCCAATTGTCGTTTTTTCAATTTTTCGATTTTTAAATTTTAGGTTTTCAGTTTTTTGATATTTTAATTTTTCAATATTTAAAATTTTAGATTTTTCGATTTCTCGAATTTTCATTTCAGTTCTTCGATATTTCCGTTTTTCAAGTTTTCGAATTTTTCAAATGTTTTGATTTCTTAATCTATCGATTTTTCGACTTCCCGGTTTTAGAGTTTCTGTTTTCAATTGTCGTTTTGAATTTTTCGATTTTTCAGTGTTTAGATTTCCCGATTTTGTTTCCCATTTTTAGTTTTTTATTCATTTTTCCAGTTTTTCGATATTTCGGTTTTGAGATTTTTCAATATTTCGATTCTTCGACTTTTCGATTTTTGACTCCTGGATTTTCGATGTGTCGACTTTTTTTTCGATTTTTAAATTTTAGAATTCTCAATTTTTTGGTATTTTAATTTTTCAATATTTAAAATTTTAGATTTTTCGATTTCTCATTTCAGCTCTTCCATATTTCAATTTTTCAAATGTTTCGATTTCTTAATCTTTCGATTTTTCGACTTCCCGGTTTTAGATTTTCTGTTTTTCAATTGTCGTTTTTTCAATTTTTCGATTTTTAAATTTTAGATTTTTCAGTTTTTTGATATTTTAATGTTTCAATATTTAAAATTTTATATTTTTCGATATCTCGAATTTTCATTTCAGTTCTTCGATATTTCCGTTTTTCAAGTTTTCGAATTTTTCAAATGTTTTGATTTCTTAATCAATCGATTTTTCGACTTCTCGGTTTTAGATTTTCTATTTTTCAAATGTCGTTTTTTCAAATTTTCGATTTTTCAATTTTTCAAATTTGACATTTATAAACGGTCAATTTTTCGATTTTTCAATTAATCTTCTTGACTTTCGACCTTTTAGGTTCTCAGTTTTTGCATATTTCAGTTTTCGGATTTTTCAGGTTTTCCATTTTTCAGTTTTTCTTTCATTTTTCAGTTTTTCGATATCTCAGTTTTGGGATTTTTCAATATTTCGGCTCTTCGACTTTTCGATTTTTGACTTCTGGAGTTTTCGATGTGTCGATTTTTTTACTTTTTCCATTTTTCAATTTTTCGATTGCTTAATCTTTCGATTTTTCGACTTCCCGGTTTTAGAGTTTCTGTTTTCAATTGTCGTTTTGAATTTATCGATTTTTAAATGTTTTGATTTCCCGATTTAGTTTCCCATTTTTAGTTTTTCTTTCATTTTTCAGTTTTTCGATATTTCAGTTTTGGGATTTTTCATATGTATTTCGATTCTTCGACTTTTCGATTTTTGACTCCTGGATTTTTCGAGGTGTCGATATTTTTACTTTTTCGATTTTTCAATTTTTCGAGTTTTAAATTTTAAATTTTTTAATTTTTAAAATTTTACATTTTTCGATTTCTCGATTTTTCAGTTCAGTTCTTCGATATTTGAATTTTTCAAGATTTTCTGTTTTTCAATTGTCATTTTGTCAAATTTTCGATTTTTTAATTTTTCAAATTTGACTTTTATAAACTCGCAATTTCTTGACCTTCGAGTGTTTCGATTTTCCTGTGCTTCAATTCTTTAATTTTTTGATTTTTCAGGTTTTTGATTTTTCAATTTTTCGATTATTTAAGGTTTCTATTTTTCGACTTCACTTTTTTGATTTTTCAAATTTTCAGTTTTTAGATATGTATTTCAGTTTTAGGATTTTTCAATATTTCTATTTTTGACTACCTTTTTACTTTTTCGATTTTTCAATTTTTGGATTTTTAAATTTTAGATTTTTCAATCTTTTGATATTTTAATTTTTCGGTATTTTTTAATCTTTCGATTTTTCGACTTCCTGGTTTTAGATGTTCTGTTTTCCAATTTTTCGATTTGTTAATTTTTCATTCCCGATTTATCGAGATTTGATTGTTCAGGTTTTCGATTTATCAGTTTTTCAATTTTTTATTTTGGCGTATTTCGGTTTCTCAGTTTTTCCAGTTTTCCATTTTTCGTTTTTTGATTTTTTCGCTTTTCCAATGTTTTCAACTTTTTTTGTCGATTTGTCTATTTTTCGATTTTTCGACTTCATCACTTCGATTTCTCGTTCTTTTGAATCTGGATTTTTCGATATTTTGATTGTCAGTTTCTCAATTTATAAATTGTTTAATTTTTAACTTTTCGATTTTGGCCTATTCCGGTTTCTCAATTGTTCGACTTTTCGACTCCACGATTTATTGATCTTTTGATTTTTGGATTTCTCGGTTTTTTGATGTTTCGATTTTTCAATTTTTGATTTTTGAATTTTTAAAATTTTAGATTTTTCGATTTCTCGATTTTTCAGTTCAGTTCTTCGATATTTGAATTTTTCAAGTTTTCGAATTTTTCAAATATTCCGATTTCTTAATCTTTTGATTTTTCGACTTCCCGGTTTTAGATTTTCTGTTTTTCAATCGTCATTTGGTCAAATTTTCGATTTTTCAATTTTTCAAATTTGACTTTTATATACTCTTAATTTATTGACTTTCGAGTGTGTCGATTTTCCTGTTCCTCAATTCTTTAATTTTTTGATTTTTCAGTTTTTCGATTTTTTAAGGTTTCTATTTTTCGACTTCACTTTTTTGATTTTTCGATTTTTTAGTTTTTAGATATTTCAGTTTTAGGATTTTTCAATATTTCAATTCTTCGGCTTTTCTATTTTTGATTTCTGGATTTTTCGATATGTCTACCTTTTTAGTTTTTCGATTTTTCAATTTTTGGGTTTTTAAATTTTAGATTTTTCAATCTTTTGATATTTTAATTTTTCTATATTTCTTAATCTTTCGATTTTTCGACTTTCTGGTTTTAGATGTTCTATTTTCCAATTTTTCGATTTGTTAATTTTTCAATCCCGATTTATCGAGATTTGATTGTTCAGTTTTCGATTTATCAGTTTTTCAATTTTTTATTGTGGCCTATTTCGGTTTCTCAGTTTTTCCAGTTTTCCATTTTTTCGTTTTTTGATTTTTCCGCTTTTCCAATTTTTCAATTTTTTT